TATAGAGGCAGAGCCAGCTGTACCCGCCCCCTCCCCCGTCCGTTCCGCCAGTCAGCGCTGGAGGATTGGACAGGGGAGGGGGGAAATCCGTGCAGTGAGCCGTGAGTGACAGTCACGGCTCTCTGCACGGATAGATCGAGAAGTGAGCGAGCAACGGTATGTGTTCGTTCACTTCCCAATCTATTAAGCCGACCTGTGATACTTTCATTGTCGCAGGTCGGCTAGAACTATGAGGCGGAATGATTTTCACTCGCCTCATAGTTCTCCTTTAAGGTTACTGCAAAGGACAAGGGGCACTCTTTGCGTCTGGAGGAAAAGAGGTTTAACCTTTGCATATGGAAAGGATTCTTCACAGTTAGAGCTGTGAAAAGGTGGAACAGACTCCCCCAGGACCTACTGTAGTTCTAGCAAGCTCAGGTAACTGTTTTTAAAAAAATCTGGAAGTATTCCTAAATGCACAGAATATTACTGGATACTGAGTTCTTATAGGTGTATTAAGCACCAGAGATTATTGATCCAGGGAATATCCGATTGCCTTATGGGGTCAGGAAGGGATTTTCTTCCCCCCTGTTGGAGCAAAGTGAATCATGTTTTATAGGGGTTTTTTTTAATTCCTCTGGATCAAGAGGTTTTTGTTTTCTTTCTCATTTCAATAGGTTGAACTCGATGGACTTGTGTCTTTTTTCAACCTGACTAACTATGTAACCTGTCAATGCCTTCCTGTCTTGGTGACAACCACAATTTCTAGTTAAAGTGGCACAGGGACAGGATGTAAATACAAAAATTGGGATAACAGGCAAAAATAAAAAGTTGTAACTCTTCCCCACTCTACCAAAAACAAAAAAGCTGCCTGCAGTTAGGCTTCAAACTATGAAAAGTTCCTTCATTCATGAAAAGATAAACATTGTGCCAAGGCCCGCAAATATGATACTGTTAAAAATAAATGTTTAATTAAATTGTTTTTTTAATTATTATTATTTGTTTTAATTATTATTATTATATAGTTAATATTATTTTTTTCTTTCTTACCCTCAAATTCTTATTCTTGCTTTCCATTTATTTAAAAAACTTTGTCACCTCTGATGTCCTCTGTCTTCATCTTCCCTTCCTGCAATGCTTTTTTATTCCTTTGTATCCTTACTAATTCGCTGATGTCCTGTGTCCTTTTTCTTCCTCCACCCATTCGTCCGCTCTCCTTGTTCTGACTCCTCCCATTCTCTGATGTCCCCTCACTTCCTCTGTGTCCTTATCTCCATCCAATCCCCAATGTCCTTCCCATGTTCTGATATCCACCTACTTGCTGATGCCCTCTCCTCCTCTGAATCTTCATTTCCACATATTTTTCTCTCTCCATTTACTCTTCACCACCAATTCCCTGATGTCCTTTCTCCCTCTATATCCTTCTTCTCTCCACCCATTATCTGATGTCTTTTCTTCCTCTGTGTTCAAATTCCACCCATTCTGTGTCCTCACTTTTCTCTATGTTTTCATCTTCCTCTGGTGTCCTCTCTCCATTTACTCTTCTCCACCAATTCCTTGACATCCTTTCTCCCCTTGTGTCCTTCTCTCCACCCATTATCTGATAACCTCTATTCCTCTGTGTCCTTCTCTCCACCCATTATCTGATGACCTCTATTCCTCTGTGTCCTTATCTTCGCCCCTTTTTCTGATGGCCTCATCCTAACCATCCTCCAATGTCCTTTCTCTCTTGGTCCACATGTAACCTCCAATGTCTCTCTTTCCCTGTTCCTTCATCACTTCCTCCATCGTCATCTTTCTCAGGCTCCTAAAGTATCCTCTGAAGATGGTGTTTGCTCATGGAATGGATGCACGGAGATCTCATCCCATCCTGCCCACGGTACTCTATCTGATGCCAAATAACAGTGTAACCACTTGCCCCATGTCAGCTGGAGAGCCATGGATTCCTGGCATTTTTAAAGATGGCACTACAGGAAAGAGGAACAGTACGGTGCCAGGCCAGTTGCTCCTTCCTGGTGAAATAGCTGCAGCTGGTCTAGTTTTTGGCCTTATATGGATCTTGTCAGTGTTTGGCAATGCCTTGGTGTGTCTCGTCATCCATCGAAGTCGCCGGACTCAATCAACGACAAACTATTTTGTTGTCTCTCTAGCATGTGCGGACTTACTTCTCAGCCTGGGTAGTGCCCCATTTACATTGATACAAGTCACCTCTGGCCGGTGGGCATTGGGCAGTGCCATGTGCAAACTGGCACGTTATTTTCACTACCTGACCCCTGGAGTCCAGGTTTATGTTCTCCTGTCCATCTGTCTTGACCGTTTCTACACCATCCTGTATCCATTAAGCTTCAAAGTCTCAAGGGAAAAAGCCAAAAGGATGATAGTGGCGTCGTGGATTTTTGATGCCGCCTTTGTCTTACCAGCTTTCTTCTTTTATGACAGCGTGGACGGACACTGCAACTTTTTCCCTCCCCCATCCTGGGACGGGGCAGTTTACGGAGTGGCCCACCTCTTAGTGGGCTTCCTTGTGCCATCTGCCCTAATAATTCTCTTTTACCAAAAGGTGGTTAAATACATTTGGCGCATCGGCACAGACCGGCTCAGTGTCAGACGGACCATGAACATTGTGCCCAGGACCAAAGTCAAAACCATCAAAATGTTCCTCATGCTCAACACCATCTTCTTGGTGTCCTGGCTGCCGTTTTATGTTGTGCAGCTGTGGCACCCAGATGAGAATGACAGGCGGCAGTGCTGCCTGGCGTACTTGGCGGTCTCCTGGCTCTCTTTTGGTTCCTCGGCCGCCAAGCCAACATTGTACTCTGTATACAACGCCAACTTTCGGCGAGGCATGAAAGAGACTTTTTGCATGTCTTCCATGAAGTGTTATCGGAGCAATGCCTACACTATCACCACCTGCTCCCGCATGGCTAAAAGGAATTATGTTGGCATCTGCGAAATGCCCATCCCAGGCAAAACCACCATAAAGGAATCGGTGTACGACTCTTTTGACCGCGAAGCCAAGGAGAAAAAACTGGCCTGGCCCATCGACTCCAATCCTCCAAATACTTTTGTGTGATTTGGATGCTGAACAAAATTAAAAAAAACGTAAACCACCGATCTGTAGTTTATCGGACACTCCACCAATACATGGTAAAAGCGTCTGCCTAACGAAAGGAGTTTGTTTTAGAGACTCAAGAATGTTGTCACTCCTGTTTATTTGGAAACGCACCGACTTTCATGACGTGACCATACGGATTATATTTTGTAAAGAAAAAAAGATAAATAAATAAATTAAGCAATATTTATTTTGACACCGTTATTGGAATCCAAAACACCAATGTTCTCCTCGGATCTCTGTGGAAAGTCTGGGCTTCTATTGTGTAAATAAAATCTTCTATTTTAGGGAGGGACTCAAAGTTTTGCTCTGCCGTTTCAAATGCAAAGTCAGCACATTGCTTGAGATCATCTGTTACAATGTTGCGTTTTTTTGTTAGTGATGGTTTTAAAATGTATTTATTTTCCTGGACACCCTGGAGTGGAGAAGGATTAGATCCCTGGTCAGGCTTTTATTGCTATCTGTATTTCTTTGGGGGAGATTCACCCTTGTTATCTGTCTTAATGACCATTGTTACTGAGATAAGAGAGTGGAGGATAATCTTCCAATGGGGCCAACTTTACAGTCGGAGCTAAGAGGTCATTTCCCTTCACTTTTTAATTCTCTTCAAGTTGTGTCTCTGGGATAGGAAGCAAAGGGAAATCTCCCTAGAAGGGGCGCAAAGAGCAAAACCTATTTTTAACCATTACCCATTTCATTCACAGCTATACAATGTTTTGGCTATATTTATACTTTGGGTCCGATGTAAAAAAAAATTCCGCCCAGCATAAAGCTGGGTGAATGCCATTCTCATGTCAATATGGTCTCTAGATGAAGGAATTCCTATGCTCCTCGGCTCCATCTAGTGGCAGTAATGCCATGCGAATTGCATTTTCTTAGCTATACGCTGGGTGGATGTTTTATACATTAGCCCATTAAATTTATATGGACGGAGTCTGGAGGGCTGAGTTCCACATTGGTTTGTTATTTTGCACAAGGACTAGATAAAGTTTTCCTGCATTTATTCCGGGTCTGTTCCTGCCGACCTTGGAGTGTTGAGATGTTACCGCCCACCTTGGGGTGTTCCCGCTCTTGCTGCACTTTTGATGAAATTAAATAATGAAGAGAGTGGGAGCCCCTTAGGCTGGCCATACACCTATAGATTATCTGCAGATTTTCTATGGACAGATGGAAAAAGTGCCTAAAAATACCTGAACAATCTGATTGGATGCTGGCATTGTTGAGGTGTTTTGACAGCCAACGGGGCCGACTAGCAAGATACTGAAGCTTGGCCAAGTGGGAAATTCCTCCACCCACACAGTTTAGCGTAGAGGGAGGAATCTGTTGCACTTTTTCCATCTGATCATAGATAATCTATCGGTGTATGGCCAGCTTTATAATGGTCACATCAGGCCACACTCCAGGGTAGATGGTAAGAAAGCCCAGAAATAATGTGTGGAGATCTCACCTGCAGGGGTATAACAAGCCATGTCAGACTCTACCTAAAACTGATATATAACTTTTGTGCAAATGTAACTTTTTTTTTTTTTTAGATGCCCAGAACCTGTAACTGCAGAGATTTTCTCTTTTCTACGATTTTATGCACATCTTGTCAAATTGCAGCTTTACTAAACAACCCTTGCTTTATGGGTCTGGTGCCTCAAATTGATATTTTAATTATGACTGATGGTTGGAGGGTTGAGAACATTATGGTTTCTTGTTCTTAGTTCTTAGAGGCTCTGTCAATAGGATCTCCTTGCAGTATTTTGTCTCTCTGCCCCTCCCACAATGGTGATATTTCCCCCCAGTAGTTTGTGTCTCTGCCCCTCCCACAATGGTGAGATTTCCCCGCAGTAGTTTGTGTCTCTGCCCCTCCCACAATGGTGAGATTTCCCAGCAGTAGTTTGTGTCTCTGCCCCTCCCACATTGGTGAGATTTCCCCGCAGTAGTTTGTGTGTCTGCCCCTCCCACAATGGTGAAATTTCCCTGCAGTCATTTGTCTCTGCCCCTCCCACAATGGTGAGATTTCCCTGCAGTAGTTTGTGTCTCTGCCCCTCCCACAATGGTGAGATTTCCCCCAGTAGTTTGTGTCTCTGCCCCTCCCACAATGGATCCTAAACGTCTGTTAAAGAGATCTCACAACTGGAATCCCCCCAAGATTCAAGAAACCAGCATGTGAATCAACACTCCAGTAACTGCACAAACCTGAATTCTCATTTTTGGTTGGGGTCACCCTCAAAGTATGTAAGACGTTGTATCGGTGAGGAATTTAGTATCTGCAAGAGGAACATTTGATTGAAATAATGTATTCTAATAAGAGACATCCCCTTTAAAGTTTCTCTGCCCATCACACGTAAGTAATTTGGAAGCCGTGTTATAGCTATCCGGCATTTTAATTTGAAGCTGTCTATAGACGTCACTGACCATGCCACTAATTCCCAGTCTGCATCCTCTAAAATATGGCTCCAGCCCAGGAAACGGCAACCTCCGTTTAATATCTTGTACAGGTACACTGTAAAGTAGATCCAAACCCAAATTTCATATTTGCGGTTTTCCTTAAAATAATCCTTGGCGATCCTTTTCATGAGGGTCCTTGTTCATTATTTTCCTGTTATGGAGTGACATCTGTCTCCTAATTGTTCTCCTATGTTGTCACTGTCACGAGCCCCCATCTAGTGGAGACTACACGGAGCGGTGCCAGCATAGATTGCCCAGGCATGGCCTAATGTTGTCACTATTATGAAGCTGGTCCAAAGCAATGATGTGCAGCCAAGGGTGGAACCAGTGCATGTAGACAGGAAGTGGATAAAAAAGCCTACAGGAGATCATCAGCACTCAGATGGAAAAAGGGATGAAAAAGGTGAAAACAGGGTTTTCTGGAAAAAAATGTCAAGTGTTCATAATATACAGCGCGCAGGGGGAACGCAATGTCATCCAGTTGGAGTTTCCATCTACTTTAAAATGTAGTATTGCTCATGTGAATTCATGTTTTATGTTCTCAGAGACATAAGAGTGTCACCCGGTTCCATTGCTCTTCTCATTCCTGTCATTGTATCAGATTTCTGATGAACAGACAGAATATACAGCAAGTTTTAATCTGAATGTTGTCTTGTGAATCAATCACGTCATTGATGAAGAAAGGGCTACAATAAAACCATCCAAATTTCTCCTGAAATGATCTCACATGACTCCATTCTTTGACTATTGGGGGGCAGCAGGGTTTTGGGGGTGAGCAGCATTGTGTTGGGGTTAGGTAGGGAAAGCAGATGTTGGACGTAGATGGGAACAGCAAAGTAAATTGGGGGTTGGGGCATCGAGGTGTTGGGGCCAGGAGGAGGCAACAAAGTGCTGGGGTTAGGTGGAGGCAGCAGGCTGTTGGGCATGGGTGGAGGCAGCACAATGTTGGGGCTAGGTGAGGGTGGAACAGAGTGTTAGGGAGGCAGTAGGGTGTGGGGGCAGCGGGCTGTTGAGCATAGGTGGAGGCAGTGGGGTGCTGAGACTAGCTTGCAGCAGCAGGCTGTTGGGGCTAGGTGGGGGCAGCGGGCTGTTGGGAATGGGTGGGAGCAGCGGGCTGTTGCGACTAGGTGGGGCAACATGGTG